ATATATATATATATATATATATATATATATATATATATATATATATATATATATGGGGTGTATGTACAGACACAGGAGGAGCTCGAGCGTCGTTGTTTGTCTCTTTCTACAGAAATAGAAATAGCGAGAGAAATAAATAAAAATAAAAAACAAAAAGAAAAAGAAAAAGAAAAAGAAAAAGAAAAAGAAAAAGATGAAGAACGCATGCAGCATGAAGACACCGCTACACTCGTAATACTTTATTATTTATTTATTTATTTTTTTTTATTTTTTTGTTTTTTATTTATTTGTTTAGTTGTTTTTGGTTGCTTTTATGTTTATTTGTTTGTTTGTTTTTGTTTATTTTTGTTTGTTTGTTTTTGTTTTTTTATTTAGTTTTTTTTTCTTTTTATTTATTTTTCTGTCTATTTTTTGTTTATCTATTCGTGTATTTATATGTTTTTGTTTGTTTATTTGTTTGTTTATTATTTGTTTTATTTATTTTACTTTTTTTATTTATTTTATTTTATTTGTTTTATTTATTTATTTATTTATTTATTTGTCTCTTTTTATTTATTTTCTGTTTCTATCTCCCATTTATTGAAGTTTTTTTGTTTTTTTATTTTGTCTTCGTCGTTGTACTGCTGTTTGTCTCCTGCTGCTGCTGCTGCTGCTGTTGCTGCTGCTGCTGTTACTGCTGCTGTTGCTGCTGCTGCTGTTGCTGCTGCTGCTTTGCTGCTGCTGCTGCTACACCGCCTGCTATTACTCTTTTTTTAATACTGTTGTTATTCCTTCTGCTGCTGCTGCTGCTGCCGCTGCTACTGCTGCTGCTGCCGCTGCCGCTGCTGCTGCTGCCGCTGCTGCTGCTGCTGCTGCTGCTGCTGCTGTGTAGAGGGCGCTGCAGCACGCGCAAGAAAGAATAAAGGAGTTAATGGCAGCAGAAGAAAAATTAGAAAAAGAAATAAACACAGAAAAACAACAGTAATATCCTGCTGCTGTTGCTGTTGCTGCTGCTGCTGTTGCTGTTGTTGCTGCTGTTGCTGCTGTTGCTGTTGCTGTTGTTGCTGCTGTTGTGGTTGTTGCTGCTTATTATGCTGTTGCTGCTTTTTCTGCTGCTGCTGTTGCTGTTGCTGCTGTGCTGCTGTCCTTCCTGCTTCTGTTGCTGCTGCTATTGCTGCTGCTGTTGCTGCTGCCTCTGCTGCTGCTGCTGCTGCAGCTGCTGCAGCAGATGTATTTGTGGGGTGTGTTGAGGTGTATGTACACCCCAGGCATGCAGAGCAGCTGCGGCAGCAGCAGGAGATAGTGGTTGCTGCAGATATACAAATAAAAGAAATGAAAATAAAAATAAATAAAATAGAAAAAGAATTAATACAGAGACCAACACAAGTAAACCCTAAACCCTAAACCCTAAACCCTAAACCCTCGTAAACCCTAAATATACTGGAAACCCTACGGGTTTATCTGAATCTATGAGAGGCACTAAACCCTAAACCCTAAACCCTCGTGGGTCTAGACTCTATCGCTGCTTGTTTGTGTACTGCTGCCTCTCTCTAAACCCTAAACCCTAAACCCTAAACCCTAGTTGTGGGGTGTGAGGGTTTAGGAAGAAGTGGAGGATCTACGGGCTCGTCTTGCTGCTGCTGCTGCTGCTGCATCAGCGGGGTCAGCAGAAAGACAGCAGCAGCAGCTGCAGCAGCAGCAGCAGCAACTGCAGCAGCAGCAGCAGCAACTGCAGCAGCAGCAGCAACAACTGCAGCAACAGCAGCAGGAGGTATCTCTGCTTGTTAAAGAGAATAGAAGACTTGCTGCTGAGCTAGCAGCAGCGCAGCAGACAGCAGCAGCAGCAGCAGCAGCAGCAGCAGCAGCAGCAGGAGGGGAGAATGAGACAGAAGATGTGCTGCTGCAGCAGCAAGAAGAAGCAGCAAACACCCTAAACCCTCAAACCCTAAACCCTAAACCCCAAACCACTAAACATAACCTCCTTCATCTCATCGTCAGGCAAAGAGACGAATACAAAACAAAACTAAGAGAAATGGAAAAGGTCCCTAGAC